TGACCCCATCCAGTCCCAGACCACATCCTTATAGCACGCCATTAGAGAACCTATGTCAACCACCACATCTATCTGCCCAGGAATAGGAGATATGCCTATTTTTTGACCTACTAGACTACTGACAGCTCCTGTCTGGCCAGCTCTTGCCCTCAGTCAAGCCCTATGCTTAAACAATTATGTTGTCTAATTCTGCAGCACCCCTAAGAGGAGGCATGATTTTGTGCCCATTTTGCACACAGAGAAAGTGCAGCTCAGAGAGGTAAAGGCACTTGCCTGAGATAATGCAGTTGGTTAATTCACCCAGGAGGCCTGTGTGTGTGATGGGGGGATAAGGCTCACCTGGTGGGTGTCAAGACAAGGCAGAAGATGCCATAGGGATCTTCAGACAGCTTCTGTAAGATGGGCAGCACAAATGCTGCCGTCTTGCCACTGCCGGTCTTGGCACAGCCCAGGCAGTCCCTACCTGGACAGAGAGCAAACAACATCAAGACAGTTTAGGTGTAAACAGTTGTTCCATCGAGCACAGTTTACAACAGCCAACATTTAATGAGCAGTTAACTGTGTGCCCAGTACTCCCATTCCGGGCATACTAACAACTTCCCATTGTGGGCAATTGATAAATTCTAGGAGAGAGATGCCATTATAATTTCTATTTAACAGAAGGTGAAACTGAGACTCAGAGATTTGCCCTGGTGAGTAGCAGGCTGAACTGGAACTCACATCCATCTGACCCAAGATGCTACTAACCACTACATCATTTTGACAATCCCCACCCCCAGCATGAGCTTGGGGAATCTGGTATGCCCTCCCACAATCTGCATTTTATGCTCCCTGTGGGTTCTTTCACCTTTGTTTAATCCTCGACTTGCCACATCCTAGATTTTATGAGGACATCTCTGTAATGGCAAAACTGGGTTGGGCCAGAAGAGTGAGAAGAGCTGTCACAGGACCAGAGTTCTGGATCTACCAGTAATCTTGACAACCTCACTTTCCATTTGTAAAATGAAGATAGTGGAAGCTCTACTCAACTTTACCACAACTATCGGTTAGTCATTCACCAAGCCCTCCCTGAACTCTGAGACTATGAAAGTTTCAGACACTACATAACTTGTGCGGGGACACACAGCGAGTCAGTCGTGCAACCTAAATGCCAAAGCTGCCTAGTGTGCCTCAGGAACCCAGGCTCCCCGAAACTCCCGAGGCTGCCCCTCGCCTCGCAGGACCAGCGTGGGTAAAGGGAAGGGAGGCGACAGGAGCGGGCACACCTCCTGAGGAAGAGGTCCAGCCAAACTCACCCTCCAAGATGGCGGGGATGCAGCCGAGTTGCACTGGCGTGGGCTGCTTCAAACCTAGCTGCCGACACTGTTCCACGAGCCAAGAAGACAGTCGAAGCTCCGCAAACCCCGCCATTCTTGCCGCCAGCCGCAGAACCCATGTGAGCCGCGCTTCCGGTGCGTGCCGATGACGTCACGAAAACGCTCTCGTTGATTGGATCCGCCTCCCTCTTCAGCTCTGTTCCATTTCCAGCCTCGATATCATCCTTACCATGTTTTCGTGAATCCCAGTGGCGCGCAGGATCGGATCAAACTACAATTCCCGAAATGCTCTGCGCTTGCGTCTCCCGCCCATTTACTTCCGTTTAGGAGTTTACCATTTGCTCATCTCCAGGCCGAGTAAACTACATTTCCCGGCGTGCTGCACGGCGGCTTCCTGCTTCCGGCCGACGTGTCCCTCAGGAAGAGGAGCGGGTGAGAGCACAGCGACATGGCACCTCCAGCCCCGGGCCCGACCTCCGGCGGCTCCGGGGAGGTGGACGAGCTGTTCGACGTGAAGAACGCCTTCTACATCGGCAGCTACCAGCAGTGCATCAACGAGGCGCAGCGGGTGAAGGTGCGGCTGCTCGGGGGCGGGGAACGCTGGGGGCGGAGGACGCTTCCTGGTGGCTGCGGGTCGTGCTCTGATTTTGAAAACTCCCTTTCTCTCGCGGCGTTCCAACCGCACCCACTCATGTTTTCAGAAGCAGTGAGGAGTTAATCCTCGTGCCATGACAACACCCAAAGCAGTAGCAGTTTGTACTTCTCAGAGTGCTCGCTCTGCGCGCTGGCAGGCATTTGAATAAGAGAGGCATTTATGTCACTGTAGTAATAATAATGGTAACAATTTTTCATTTGTTGAACGCCCACTTTGTGCCGCCATACCCTCAATTTCCATGAAGTAGGGACTGTTTATCCTCATTTTACAGATGAGAATACCGACGCTCAAGAGAGAAATGGCTTCCCCGACATTACCTTGCCCCACTAGCCGGGTTGTTTCTCCCCATACTCGCTCTTTCATTCATTCCTCAGTGAACATCGCTATGGGTCAGGCAGTGTATTCGTGCTGGTTCAAAACGGTGATAAAATAGACAAAACTCCCAGCTCTTTCTCGGGAATCTCAGCCTCGCCAGGGAGACAGTAAACAAGTAAATAAATGAGTAAATAAACAAGTCGGGAGATGGTGTGATGGAGCATGGTGCAAATGAGCTTGGCTGTTTGAGAGCTAGAAAATAAACATGCAGGCAGGGCCCAGCCAGCGAGGAGCTGGTGACTGGAGAGGGGGCTGCAGGAGCCATTAGCAGGACCTTTGAGGGAGGGACATGGGTGTTACTGTAACTTTGAGAGTGAACCATTGGAGAATTTTTAAGAGCAGTGAACATGGCACAGGATGTTTGCCTGCCTTCACAGCCTAGTGTTCCAAAGAGAGTAAGTAAAGAAGTGAGTGAATATATATGTAATTCCAACTTGAACTTGAGCACTGTATGTGTGGGCGGGAGGGGGGGGGCAGAGATAAAAAGTGCTGAGTTGGAGATTGGGGAGGAGGGGGGTTGCTGCTTCACATGGGAGTGGTCTGATAAGCCGTGCCTCTCTGACTCATTTGAACCTGAGACTGAGCCTTGAGAAGCATCTAACCCCATAAGTTGCTGCAAAGGTGATGAGGCAGGTATGAGCTCAGGGTAGTCAAGACATAAGAGGCCAGTGTAGCAGAAGTGGGGAGGTGGTGAAGGGGAGGACTGATAATGAGGTGGGCGGGGCCTTGGGGGCCAAAGCAGGGATTTGGATTTTATTCCAAAGGTGTGGGAGGCCATCAGAACACCAAGCAAGGGAGTGACAGACATCTTCACAGAGGCAGCCAGAGGGTTCTGGGGAAATTTAGACTCTGAAGTAAAGAAGGCTTGCTTTCCATGATTCTTGCCTTTGGAGCATCATCCATATGATGGGAATAAAACTTGAAACAGACTTCAGGAAGCTGTTAGGATTTGTAGAGATAACATTTGCACGATTGTATTAATTTTCTGTTGCTGCCTTGACTACTTATCACAAACCGCTTAAGACAACACAAATGTATTGTCTCATGGTTGCTATAGGTCAGAAGTCCAACATGCCTCTCAGCAAGCTAAAATCAAGGTGTCTGCTGGGCTGTGTCTTTTCTGGAGGTTCTTGGGAAGAATCTGTTTCCCAACTCATTCAGATTTTGGGCTCTTTACCTGGGGCCACTCTTAACTCCTAGAGGCTTCTCTCCAGTACTCAACCTCGCATGTAGCCCCCTCATCTCAGAACCAGCCATGGGGTTCTCACACTTGAAGTCTCAAATTTTTCTTCTGCTGCATTCCTTCTGCCTAATGTCTGTTTTTAAGGCCTTCTGTGATTAGATTGGGCCCTCCAGGATAACCAGCACATTCTCCCCATTTTAGGGTCCATAACCTTGATCACATTAGCAAAGTCGCTCTTGTGATATAATGTAAGCTATTTACAGTGGACATCTCTGAGGAGCCTTATTTGGCCCACCACCAGAATTGTATGTGCTTCCTTGCTGGGGTAGTGTAGGCTGTGAGAAGATTGAGATAGACCTGGGCTCAGATTCCAGCTTTCCTGTGTTCTCTCTGAAACCAGGTCTAAGTCATTGCATCTCTCTGAGTCTCAGTTTCCCCTCCTGTCAAATGGGAACAATGACATCTATCTCAGTAGGGTCACTGTGAGATTCAGCATTGTACTCACATTCTACCTTTTGCTTTTTGCTGTGTCTGTTTTGCTTACATCATAGTAATGTGTTCTTTGAGTCTTCTCCCATCATAATATGCAAACTTTACATTGTTGCTTGAAAGAACCAACATGATCTGCTTTACGGAGTGACTGAAAACCATACCAGCAGTCACTCTGGCTGGAGGCAGACACGACCCAGCCCCTAAGCCTTGGACATGCACCCTCTTTGGCAACATGGTAAAGATGTGCTAGCACCAGACCAAGACATCCTTGATGCATCCAGAGAATGGGAGCACTGACCCTGCTGAGCCATCTGATGTGATTTAATTCTGGCCCATGGGGCGCCTAAGCCTCTTTGGCAGACTGTACTACATTGAATGCTGTCTCTGCAAAGATGTCCACCCAGAACCTGTCAATGTGACTTATTTAGAAAAAGGGCCTTTGCAGATGTAATTCAGTGAAGGATCTCTAGATAAAATAAGCCTGGATTTAAAGAGGCCCTAAATCCAATGACTGGTGACCTTCTAAAAGAGACAGAAAGGTTTGAGGCAGACAGAGAAGATGGAGGCAGAGGTTAGGATGATACAGTCATAAACCTAGGAATGCCTGGAGCTACCAGAAGCTGACGGGAGACAAGTATCCTCCCCTAGAGTCTTTGGAAGGAGTATGGCCCTACTGACACCTTGATCTCAGACTTCTGGCCTCCAGCACGGTGAGAGGATAAGTTTCTGTTGTTTTAAGCCCCCAGTTTGTGGTAGTTCATTACAGCCACCCCAGCAACCTCAGATAGGCACCATGAGGTGGCCTTAGGTAGAACACTGGTGTGTCCTAACGCTATATCACCATCATGTCCCCATTTGTCAAATGTTTCTTAAGTGCCCACAAGATGGCAGGCACCACCCAGGTATTGGGGACAAAACAGAGAAGAAAGCTTTGAGAAGCTGACCACCTAGTGTGGTCAGCTGACTCTGATGGCCACTTGGACAATAAAGACAGGGGATGCATCCTCTTACTTCATCCCATTACTGGTCTCCCCAGACAGTACCCCTTGCTCTCAGGTCTTGGCTGTACCTCTGCTCTGCCTGAGGGCAAGTAGGCCCACCCCAGTGCTGGGCGGCATTCATGGGGCATGGGCCTTCTGGCAATGCTGGTTTCTGAGCTCCCAGCTGATTCTGATGAGCTGTCAGGACTGAGGACCAGAGAGCTCACCTGGTGTCATGCATCAGGGACCCTGTGGTGCCCCTGATATGTACATATGTTCTTGTTGTTATGCCTCCCAGAAACTCTGCTCTCCAGCTGATTGAGAGGGTCCTGAGCATCTGCATGAGGTGTCTCAGTAACACCTTGGCAGTCCTGTGGGGTCATTGGTGGTGCCTGTTTTACAGATGGTAGCTGAGGCTCAGAGTCACCTCTGGAACTCAGAGTCCCTTTCAGGGCATGCCATTATATCCTTGCTTTGGTGACACCAAGGCCAGTGCTTGTCTGTGTTTTTACTGTAGGTGGTGTGGGGTCCCCCAAATGGATAGTCCTTACCAGGGTCCACCTCTGAGGGTCATTTGAGAGTCACTTATTTAGCAGATGCTATGTTCCAGATCATGACCAAATCCCCTCTGGGACCCTGCAGTGAAGTTGGCCAGAGTTGGGCTGGGGCCAGGAGCCAGGCTTCTTGTTTGTGGTCTCCCTTGGCCTGGGAGGACACACCATTCTCACCTCCCCCCGCACCCCGCCCCCACCTCAGGCTGGGGAGAAGAAGGCATTATGATTAGGAATCTTCTCACCTTGGGGGAGGGCAATCCTGGTGTACCCCCACCCGTGGGACTCTGAACCTTTTGTTCCTGTGCTGTGGCATCTGGACAGGCCATCTCTCTGGGCACTTTCCCAGCCCCTGCAGTTTGGAGGACCCCTTCCCACCTCACTTTTTCTCTCCCAGCTCCCCAGGTCTCCTGTCCCAGTGCCCCCCAGGCTCCCTGGGCCAAGCTTTTCTGTGCTGACCTGTCCCAGGCACCGCAGGGCCTCCCAAGAAGTCGGCCAGCACCCTGGGGTCCAAAAGCTGTTCTCCCAAGGGAGGGTCCCTCACCTCCCTGCAGCTTTCTGGGACCTTCCTTCAAGTCCCACAGTGAATGCTATGTGAGGTCTCCTCACTTCTGCTTCTCGGCTCTGTGCAGTGGCTGGGCTGGGGGGTGTAACATGTGGACCTCTTCCCCAAGGATAGGGTGGTTCCCGAGGTCTCACCTGGCCCAGGTTGGACACAGACATCACTGCACCAGGGCAGCAGAGCTGAGCTCTCCCAGAAAGGTCCTCTGAAAGGCCTTCGTCTCGTCTGTGTGTCATGTTTAAAGAATGCTTTGAAACAAAAACAGGACAGGAACAAGCTACATGGAAGTATTTATTGTAGAACGTTCCCTTTGCACATCTCTACCTGGGTCCCATCTGTTCTCCAGCATCACCCATCACCTCGCCATGTGGCTGGAGCAGTTGTGGCACTTTTGGTGGTGTCCAGCCTCTCACCCTGAATGCACGGGTGACAGTTGAGCTTCCTTTCTGGGGTGATTTTGGGATGGGACAAGATCAAGTGCACGCTATGCTATGTGCTCTCAGCGGAGGCCTCTCTCCTGCTGCCCAAGGTCCCAGGCAGCTGAAAACCAGGGCTGGGACTCCACCAGGGAAGCCCCTGGCCTCTGAGGGCCTGTCTGGCACATGGCCCCATGTGTCATGGCTTGCCTCTGTTTCCACAGCCATCGAGCCCGGAGAGAGACGTGGAAAGGGATGTCTTCTTGTACAGAGCATACCTTGCACAGGTGAGCATGAGCTGTGACTGCCAGTGTTTCTGGGACGGGAGAGTAAAAAAGAGAGTCCTGAGTCGGGGTGGGGCACCTGGCAGGCTGAGGGGTCCCCAGGGGTGGTAGGTGTCAGCCCCAGGCATTAGGGTTTCGCCAGGGTGATGCTGGAGCCCCAAGAACCCTCTGTGTTCCAGGGGCTGAAGACATGTAAACCTCATGGCAGGGGAGGGCAGGTGGAGCTGACAGCATGCTTTTCTTACCTCAGAGGAAGTACGGAGTGGTCCTGGATGAGATCAAGCCCACCTCAGCCCCCGAGCTCCAGGCTGTGCGCATGTTCGCCGAGTACCTGGCCAGTGAGAGCCAGAGGTGAGGACTGGGGGGAAGGTGTATCCCTCCTCCCTGCCCCCTCACCTCCCTGAGCCTGGGTTTTCTCCACCTGCACAGTGCGGGGCAGCAATGGATTCTGCTTCAGAGGGGTCTAGGGAATCAGAAACAAGGACATGTGTAGATGCTCTCAGGGTACTCTGAGGGGCTCCCTGAAGGAACTGCCCTGGGTGTTGCAGAGGGGGCCTCCCCCAGACACACAGGGCTGGGACCCTCTGCCGGACGGGGGGTAACGGCTGTACTACCTGCTGATTGTCTCCCCAGAAGGAGGGCTCGGTGGATGTCAGGTGGGGATATGCTGAGACCTTACCCTGAGATGTGGGTTCTCCCCAGCCACAGACCACAGACCAATGATTGTCAAACTCCTGAGGGCAGTGTCTGGGGGAGGGTCTGTGGGGACCCATAAACTCTACACCCTCCTGTGGCCCAGGGAGGGCAGAGTGGGTCTCGCCTGCCCACGCTAGGGTCAGGGCTGAGCTCCCCAGGACTAGATACACCTATACTTAGGTACTCAGTGTGCTGGCCTCAGGCAATTCCTGGTTTACATTTTCACAGGCCATTCCCTGCCACAGCGATGCTCACCCAGGTGCATGTCCCTCTTGGCTGTGGGTGGAACCAGGCGACCCTGCTTTACCTGTGCTTGGAGCACCCACACAACCCCACAGGCTCCAAGGCCCGCAATAGGGAGCTGTTTTGCACCCTCCACACCCATCATAGCCCCAGGAACTCACCACCAGCACCTTGGGCCATTTCTCATGGCTCCATGACACTTTTCAGAGGGACCTTCCCCAATCTCTGCCCTTTGAAGCTTCCTAGACCAGGATGTGGTCCTGACCTTGGTGACTCCATGCTTTCCTCATGGGCGCCTGTGGCCATGGGTGAAACTGTCTGCTGTGACCCCCACCTCCACTTCTGTGGAGGGCAGCGCCCTGTCACTACCTCCTGTGATTGGACTCTTTCATCCGCAAAGCCCAAGGTTCGGGGGGTTGCTTATGAGCAGTGGAGCTGAATAGGGCCTCAGAAGATATGTTTGTGTCCTGGCATTCAGAATCTGTGAATGTGACCTCACTGGACATGGAGTCTTTGCAGATAAAAGTAGTTAAGGATCTTGAAATTATCCTGAGTATAGGATGGGGCTCATAAGAGACAGAAAAAGAGACAGAGAAGACAGAGGCAGAGATTGAGGTGATGCGGACACATGCTAAGGACTGCTGCAGCCACCAGCACCAGGAGAGAGACCTGTCAGAGCCTCCAGAAGGAGCCAGCCTTGCCCATCCCTTGATCTTGGATTTCTGGCCTCTAGAGCTATGAGAGAACAAATTTCTGTTTTGTTTTGTTTTAATTGGGGGATTGAGGGAGGGTAACAGCCACATTGTTGTCCTTCAGTCTTAGTTGTGGAGGGTGCAGCAAGCTCAGATCCAAGTCTAGTTGTGCTGCTCAGTTCAAGGTGCTGTGTTCAATTAGTTGCGGGTGGGCATAGCCCACCATTCAAACCAGCAGCCTTGTTAGGAGCACGTGCTCTCACCCGCTGAGCCATCCTGCCACCTGTAGGCAACTCGGCAGCTCAGCTCAGGCGCAGTGTCACTGGCCCATGTGGGACTAGAACCGACGACCCTGTTGTTCAGAGCTTACACCCTTGGGCAAGTTCTTAATCAACTGAGCCACTCGGCCGGCCCAAAATTTCTGTTTTGATCCCCTCAGTTCGTGGTACTTTGTGTCAGCAGCCCCAGGACACTAAGACAAGTGACCTCCGGAGGCCATCATTTCTCCCTGCTTCACACTTCACTAACCATAGTGACAAGCCCCATTCTCCTATGGAAGGGGAAGGAATCCTGGGGCCTTCCAGGAGCGGTGGCTGCTGTGAGCATTACAGAAAGGAAACCACAGGAAGCAGGGTGTTGCCCCAGAAAGCAGACTGGCGTGTGGTGCGTCCATCCTGGCAGCACAAACCACTGCCCCTCCAAAACAGCCTGGGAAGCAGGCGTTGGAGAAGGTGCTGGAGCCTGCGAGGATAACTACAGTACGTGACAGGCACAACGTACAACACTAACGTTGCAGTGACAACAGGCAGCATGTCTGTACCCTGTGTGCCAGGGACCAAGCCAGAAGCTTCAGTGGCTCCTCTCTAGCACCCGCATGACATGTACACATTTGTAGAGACTATGGATCCTGGACAGCAATAGTGACTTCGGCTGGGCCCAAGCCTCCCTTCTCCCATCAACTACTCAGCAGCCCTCTGAAACATGGGGTCTCAGCTTTATTTTCCAGCTAAGCAGACCATGGCTTAGGCTCCCTGGGGTTGTGGGGTTGTCCAGTTGGCCTTGGCCCAGCCCTGACTTCAGCCTAGCTGCCGGCCCCCAGCCCAGCATGTCGCCCACCTGCCAGGAGTGGACCACAGGCCTCCTCAGGAAGGTAGCAGTGTCACTGGTGTGAGGTTTACCTTTGCAGCCTCATGTCCCTGCACAGGCACCCCTGGCAAGTCAGTCTGTTTCTCCATGTCAGGGGCAGAGTCGACATAATAGCCACCTAGTTCTGAGAGCTGGGGCACCCTAGGCCTGGGCCGTCATTCATGCTGTGTGGTGGGCATGGCCCCTCCTGCACCACACCTCCCCACAGGCCTGGAGTGCTCAGCCTCCGTTTCCCTCTCTATGTGAGGATAAGAAGTGCCTTGTGGGAAGGTGGTGAGGCTGGCATGCAGTGGGGCTAGATAGAGACAGCTGGACCCCTGAGGGCCCCCTCCCTCCCGCTGCTGTGCACCCCTGGGAGCCTACCTCGTCCTTTGTGGTGTGTCTGCTCCTGCAGGAGCGAAGCCACTTCCAGCTGTGGGTCCTAAGTGCCTTGTTTTACAGGGACACAATTGTTGCTGAGCTGGACCGAGAGATGAGCAGGAGTGTGGATGTGACCAACACCACATTCCTGCTAATGGCAGCTTCTATCTACTTCCACGACCAGAACCCGGACTCTGCACTGCGCGCCCTACACCAGGGGGATAGCCTGGAGTGGTAAACACCCATCCTGCTCTGGGAGGACAGCCTGGAGGGCTGAGTGGCCCCTCCAGTCTCTAGGCTGCTCAGGGCCTCTTTGGCTGTCGTCATGGGAATGGAGAAGTGAGGGCTGCTTTGAGAGATCTGCGGGACTTAGGCCTCCTGTTCAGGCTGCATTTCTTATTCTTGGTCTAGGAGATACCACTCCTTTCTGCACAGCTCGGCTGCTGCTCCAAGGGCACAGCGCCTGGGGCTAAAAACCCTCTGTTTCCTAGGGCAGAGCAGAAAACACCTTTGTCTCTGTCCACGGTTTCTGTATACCCTCTCTGTGTTCTGACCCTGGCCTTTCCATGTCCTCCCCTGAGGCTGACCCTTCTTAAGGGCACTCCAGAGCTTGGGTGCTGGAGCCCAGCGCAGTGTGCAGTCAGCTCCACCCCCCAACCCCAGGAGGTGACTCTGGGCTGACGCTGCATCCAGGGTGCTGTGTCCAGGCCTCTGAGTCCAGGGCTGTGGCCCCAGAGGGCACAGTTGCCCTCTCCTTGAGCTCTCTGGTGCCTGCCTTCCCTCATGTTTGTTATATATCTGTTTACCTCCCTCCTCGGTCCAGAAAGGGGTGTGCAATAGGTTAGAAACAGGTGTGGTGCAGAGCTAACAAGGCAGCGGGCTCTGCGAGTGTTTCTTAGGCTTCTGTGAGTGTTGCTCTGGTTGCTAGGTCACGTTCTGGTGGGAAAACTTGGGAACAATCAGCCACATAAGTCACAGCTCTGGGGCTGAGAGGGAGGCAGTGGTTGCGGGAACTGAAGGGATGATCAGCTGCCCCCACACAGTACTGCATCTGTGACTGAATTCGAGAAGGGGAGGAGGTGGGTGTAGACATGGTGCCCAACCTGGGGGTGGACAGGGAGTGAGCCACAGGCCTGGAGTGTGCGTCCTCAGGATCCCATAGGAGCTCCTGTCCCACGCATGGTCAGTAGTGAGATGTGGGAGCCAGGGCCCCAGGAGGTGGTGGGCGGCTCGGCCCAGTGAGCAGTGCCTCAGTCTGAGTTCGTCTCTGCTAGGCTGGCGGTCAGCCTCAGTTTCCCCCTCTATAAGGCAGGGCTGGTGGATGAGCACTCATAGGAATGCTCTAGGGGGTGGCACCTACACGGAGTGAACCCTGATGGGGATAGAGTGGGGAGAGTGCCTGCTGACTGCCTGCTCTGTCCCATAGCATGGCCATGACGGTGCAGGTTCTGCTGAAGCTGGACCGCCTGGACCTTGCCCGGTAAGTACTTACCCACCTGGGGCTGATGGGCTTGGGCCTGTGCATCAGAGGTGTCTGAACAGCAACGAGGCCACATCAGGACCCATGTTCTCCGGAAGCTGGGCCTCTGCCCTCAAGGGGGCACTCAGCATGGGGACTGTCCCCAAACTATCCCCAAGGCCTGGAACATGGTGGCGCGGTCATTTCTCCAGCTATTTAATTCCAGTTCATTGGGGTGACACACCATCTTTATCCGCCATTCCTGCAGCGACTAGGGGCAACGTTGTCCAAACCTCTGATGCGAGTGGTGGGGGCCGCCCTGCAGGGTTGTGGTGGGCTTCATGAGTGTGGTGAAGCCGGCATATCTGAGCCATGGGTGGGGGTGGCTGGGCCAGGGCCCGTGTGTGTATGCTTCATGAGCAAGGAATGGGTGTGGTGAGGGAGGCACCCGCCAGGCCACTTGGCTCCCTACCATCTCTCTTCTCTACCCCTAGGAAGGAGCTGAAGAAAATGCAGGACCAAGATGAGGACGCCACCCTCACCCAGCTGGCCACCGCCTGGGTCAACCTGGCTGTGGTGAGCCCCAGACCACACAGGGCTGGGGGGCAGGAGCCTCAGGGAGCCAGGAGGTAGCCCCTGCATCTAGCACCACTGCTCCTGTCAGGGGAGTGCATATGTGGGGTTCTGTGTTTGCACTGGACTGCTGCTTATTTGGGGCTCATCCCCCAGAAGAACCCCCCAGCCCAACCTGGGCCACCCCTGGCATGTTTCCCACTTCACTCAGCCTCGACCCCATTCTGAGCTGCTTGCAGCCAAGCAGCTTGGCCAGAATCAGAGTGGACAAACTGGGAGCTCCAACCAAACTCAGGGTACCTCCGCCCACATTGTACCCCTGGGATGCATGGAGCACGCCAGCGTGGCATTGCCCCCTCCTTCAGAGTCTGATTGGGCCTGGCTGCTGCTCAGCTTGCTCTGTGGGCTCCTGGCATTGGGCAGTTGCCAGTGTCCCCCTGGTGCCTTTCCCTGCGCCCAGCCCTTTCCCACATGCCTGGGCACCCCTGTCCCCCATCTCTAGGCAACAGCCCCTTTCCTGGCTTTTGGCACTCAGCTTCTGTTCTCTGAGTTGCTCTTTTGTGTAAGCCTTTTAAAATGTGCTTCCCATCTGCGTGAGTCTACACTGCCCTCAGTGAATGAGGCCTCGCCCAGGCCAGACTCCAGTATGCATCCAGTGTAGTGGGACAAACCCCGATGGCTCTCTCCAGTTGTCTTTCCTGTTTTCACAAGCACACCTTGGTCTCAGGCTCCCCGGCAAGCATGAGTCTGCGTTTTTAGCAGGAGGACAGAACTCAGAACCTGGGTGGGCAGGGTCAGGGCTGCTGATAACAGAGCAGAGGCCACCCCTGATGGGCCATGTGACCCAGTGGTCTCCACTTGCCTTAGGCCTGGATGCCCATGGGCTAAGTGTTCCTTTAGAAGCTTCAGCTTCAAGTCTGTAAACTGAGGGCTGGGGGAGCCGGGTGTGAGGTGGCTGCGTGTCATTTCGGCCATCAGCAGGACACAGGCTATGTGTGGGTTTTTGCAGTGTCTGAGGAGTGCCTGCTGTGGGCTGGCTATGCTGGGATCGTGTCTGCAAAGTGCTGGAAACCCCCTACTCTGTGAGGGAGTGGGCAGGGGTAGACCTGGACAGCAGGGTGACAAAGCAGTGATGTTAAAACTGTCCCCACAGGGTGGTGAGAAGCTGCAGGATGCCTACTACATCTTCCAGGAAATGGCCGACAAGTGCTCATCCACCTTGCTGCTGCTCAATGGGCAGGCGGCGTGCCACATGGCCCAGGGTCGCTGGGAGGCAGCTGAGGGCGTGTTGCAGGAGGCACTGGACAAGGTAGGGCAGGCCCAGCCCAAATCCCGGGGCTCCCGGAGGGGATGGCAGGTGACACAGGCGGTGCCGTGTAGCACCATAGGAATTTTAATGCAAAAGCAGTTAAAAATCGTGATTGCAAAAACGGTGATTCCAGCCGGCCGAGTGGCGCGTTGGTTAAGAACTGGCTTGGGACGCCAGAGGGCCCTGGTTCGGATCCCACATAGGAGGGCCAGTGACACTGCCCTCTATAAAAAAAATAAAAACAAACAAACCAAAAAAACGGTGATTCCAGTTTCTCTTGGACATGGGAGGACCCTGTCAGCCAGGGCCTGAGTTGGCCTGAGCTGACTGGACATACCCCAGCCCTTCCTTTCTGTCACCTTGGCTGCCTGGCCCAGGACCCTCAATATGACCCCTCACCCGGGTCTGTTTTGGAAGAGATACCCACAGTTCACTACAAGGGAGGGGAGAGCAAACTGCAGACAGGAGGCAGTGCGTGGGCCCTGTCAAAAAGAGGGACTGAGAGTGCTGTCCTCTGGGACGGTCACAGTTGTGACATCTGAGGTCTTTCACTGTATTTTTCTAACTGGAAAAGACATCAAAGCTTTTTCCATTTTTGGAAAACATGTAATATAATGAGACACTGACAGCAGTAGGAAGCTTTCTCCCTGTTCATCTCTGCAAGGGGCCGAGTTATCAGAAGGTTGTTTGCAGAGTGAGGATAGACCATATGGGTATTAGTTGGATGCTCCTATGGGCCAGTGTCCTCAGACTGCACACGCAGAGCTACCTACCTCACCCTGCCAGAATGCCCTGTGCTGGCGGGAGAAGGGGTCTCTGCAAAGAAGGACACCCTGGGGTGGAGCTGGGTCTGTGGAGGAGGCCAGCATCCATGCAGCCTCTTAAGCCTGCAGTGCCGTGCATTCTGGGAGGCGCATTTCTGCCCCAAGTGCTCAGGCAAGGCTCCCCCCATGTTGCTGCTTTCTAGCCACCAGGGGCTCTGGCTGAGTTTCCTGGCTGAGGCAGCGGCCGGCAGGTTCCCAGGGTTCCCTGAGCCTCAGAGCCCAGCGTGGGCGGGTGGAATGACGTCACTTTTCTGGAGGTTGTGGTAATTTCCCAGCAGCTTCCTGCCAAAGCCTCCTGGGAACAGGCGGGATGGGCGGGCTCTGCCTGTGGTCTCAGACCTCGTCCTCCAGCATGAGGGACAGCTGGGCTGTGGCAGCGCTGAGGCTGCCTTTGGCCGGGCTTTGTTACTTTGAGATTGGGATAAATAGGACCCTCCCAAGTTGTGACAGGCAAGGGGGCGCTGTCTCAACCTGGTCTGCTGATGAAGTAACAAGCTCAGAGGGAAGGCAGCTGGTGTGGGGAGGTAGCGGGGACAGGAGTAAGGGCCCTGATGTTACTGGCTTGCAGAGTGGCCAGTGTGGGGAACACTCGGAGTCTTGTATCCCTGGCCCTGCCCCACTTCTGAGGGTGTGACTTTGTGCAGGCCATGTCCCCACCCCAGGGTGGTGAGGGGTGGGCAGGCCAAGTCTGGGGCCTGGAGGAGCTGATCCTGCTTGCCTGGTGTCCCCTTATGTTTCTAGGACAGTGGTCACCCAGAGACGCTGGTCAACCTCATCGTCCTGTCCCAGCACCTAGGCAAGCCCCCTGAGGTAGGTCCCCTCCCCGCTCCCCCAGCCAGATGCAGGAGAGTTGTCTGACCCTCAGGGTCTGGACTTCAGCGTTGGCCTGGGGTCGGGGCAAAAACCCACTCCCCACTGGTGGTTAACAGTTGCCATTGCTGCAGGGCCCTGGGAAGTTGGCGTGACAGGTGCTCCCCCAGGGCCCCCACCCTAGCCAGGGCCATACGTCAACTGCTCCCATGGGTCCTGTGGACAAGTGGGCCGAGGTTCAGAGGGTATTCTGGCTGGGACCCCGGCCTTTGCCACCTCAGGGTTGGGGGTGAGCAACAGGTTGTAAAGGGGCTCAGGGGAGTGATCCCACCTTGTTTGAAGGTGGGGAGGGGGGAGGATGCCAGGGCACCGCTTGTTTAGGTGAAGGGCCCAGCGGGCCAAGGGCCAGCCCAGGGCTGCATGGTAGTCATTCACTAGCCCTTGCAGAAGGGTCCTCAGGCTGAGGTGGTGCAGGACTGATAAGACGACCCTCCCACTTGCCCCAGAAACAGCCCCAGATCTCTAGTTTCGGGGAGACAGTGCCAGACAAATGCCCTAACTCTGTCTGGTCAGGGTTGGGCCTGACGGGTGGGGTAAGGCCAAAAGCGAAGTCTCTGCTGGGGCTTCAGGTTTCAGTCCCCAGGCCTCTGGGTGCCTCAAATTCATCTCCCCTTGACCTGGTCTTCACTTCTGACCCCTCTGTCCAGGGGGCTAGAGGTCCCTGTCCAGCCCACTCCCATGAACCCTATGGTGCATCTCACATCCATGTGCCAAGGTATTGGCCTTGCCTGACTCTGCCAGGTGCTATTCCAGGGTGGGGTGATGGAGGGCATATGGGGAGACCAGGACTCCTGCCAGGGGATCCATTAGGCAGCTCTCGTCCCACCCAACCCCAGCCCTGCAGGTCAGAGCCACAAGGGGTCCCCATGTTCAACTAACCTGGCCTCACCTCCCCCACAGGTGACAAACCGCTACCTGTCCCAGCTGAAGGATGCCCACAGGTCCCACCCCTTCATTAAGGAGTACCAGGCCAAGGTGAGCCCCAGACCCCCCCAGGCCCATCCAGGGAGGACCCAGAACTTGGGGCCTGTCTCATGTGTGCTCCCCTTTCTCTTTTCGTCCCACCACCTTTTGTGCTGAAGGAAAACGACTTTGACAGGCTGGTGCTACATTACGCACCCAGCGCCTGAGGCTGGCCCCGGACGCCATTTCCACAGCGCGGAGGTGAGGCCCAGCTGTGCTGCCTTCCGCACTGGCCACTGGCCCTTGTCCACTCTCCCTCCCTCTGGCCAGAGGCAGAGGCTGGAAACCCAGCCCCCTTCTGTCAATAAACTTCTCCACTCCAGGTATCCCCACTTATTTCATGTTTGCTCTAGCCATTTTGAGGGGGGCATGTGGGAACCAAGGCTGGAGTGGGAGGGGCCTGAGCATGGGGCCCTGGATACCACAGTCTGCAGCTGCACAGACTCCCCTGCCCCTCAAACAGCTGCGCTGGGCTGCTGAGCTGTAGGAGGCACAGCCATGTTCCCAAATCCAGTTGGCATCCAGGGAAACAGAGGCAAAGAGAGATCACAGCTATAAAGAGGGATACCAGGATTCAAACCCAGGACCCCCAGGTGGTCTGTAGGTGGTGAGGCCAGAAGCTGTCAAGCCTCAGCTCAGCCAAGCGAGGAAGGGGTATACCAGGTCCTCATGGGAGTAAATAGCCCCACGCCAGGCGCCTGCTCCTTGCTGCTGCCATGGAGTGTTATTGGCTAAGTCTGGGACTCTCTGTGGCTGGGGCCATGGGCGCTGGAGCACTGTGGTGACCAAAGCATAGAGCTCCCTGCCTGGAGAAATAAGCGCATAGTGAGCACCCTGCAATAAGAGGAAGCAGGACAACAGAGAGGGAGATGGATGGGCGGGTTAGGGGGTAGTTGGGGCCTCTGAGATGAGGTCACCATCAAGCTGTGTCCACCCAAACTTCAAGAAGTTGCTGCCAGGCCAAGTTCTGGAGGACAAGCATCTTAGGCAGCAGAAACAGCACATGCAAAGGCACTGAGGCCACACTGGGTTCAGTGAGCTGGACAGGGCTTCATTCCTTTGGTCCCTGGGCCAGTGTCTGAGTCCTTCCCAGGGAAGAGGTAAGACACCAGGTTTCCAGTGCCTAGGCTCATCTGCCTCAAAGGTGGCTGCCCAGACCCAGTCCCTGGTTGCCAGAAGAGGACAAAGCAATATTTCCCCATCAGAGCTCCTTCCTGCCTGATGGGGAGCTCAGCAGGGGAGAGGTGCAGAGAAGGCCTCCCCAGGCAGGGGCATCAGTGTGAGGGGATGAACGCTCTGGTGGAGAGGGCGCCTGCCCCCTCAGGTGGCAGGGAAGGGGCACCAGCCCTGGGACTTTAGCAGCCCCTCACTAGGCCCGTGGTGCCTGGGAGCCCTGGTCCCCAGCTGCCAGCACCAGGAGCTACTTTCCATTCCTGCCCTGCACCTATCCGTTGGCAGTCTCCTGTCTGGGCCCTGCCAGAATGAAACTCGAGGCTGTGCTGGGCTGGTGGGCAGGGGCCTTCTCCCATTACTGATGGGTGCCATGGACACCAGATAGTGATGGGTGGGAGAACAGAGATAGGTGGTTGAGAAGGTTCAGGGCAGCCAGCTGGACCTATAGGGGCATGTCCCGCCAGCCCGGGACCCGTGAACCCCTCTGCCTGCCAGGCTGGCCTCAGCATTAGTCATCTGATGGGATGGATGAACCCCTGCCCACATACACATTCAAAAACAGTAAAAAGTACAGCAGGACAGATGGTGACAAGTGCCAAGAAGAATGATGGGGGGTGGTCAGGGAGGTGCATTGAGCAGGTGACATTTGTAAGTAAAGCTTGAAGTCGGAGGAGGAGCTGTGCCAGTACTTAAGGGGATAACATTCTAGGCCGAGGGAACAGCTATTGCAAAAAGGACCTGAGGCAGAAGTGTGCCTGGGGTGTTGGAGGAATAGCAAGGAGGCCAGTATGGCTGGAACAGAGGGAGCCAGGTGGAGAGGAAGGAAGGCAAGAGGGCAGGTGGTGAGTAACAGAAGTTGGGCTTTTACTCTGGTGGGAACCATGAGGGAGGGCTGTGAGCAGAGAAGGCTCCCTCTGGCCTCGCGGGGTAAGGAGAAAGCCAGGATTCCAGGCAGGAGGCACGAGGTGCCCCAGGGCCACATGAGGCTGTGCAGGTGCAGAGAAGTGGCTGAATTCAAGAACATTAGAAGGTGAGGCCACTGG